AGATCAAGCGTCACAAATTGATTTTATACTAGTCAGACAACGGCAGAAGAGGACGGTAAGAGACTCAAAAGCTGTCCCAAATGCGGGACTGGATTCAGACCATCGCCCAGTAGTTATGAACATATGCAACTCAAGTAGAAACAGTCTACATAAACAGAAACGTGAAGAAATCATCAACACTAAGAAATTAGAGGAAGAGAATATCAAACATGAATTTGAACTAGAAATAACAAAGGCTTTTGCAGATATTGCCAAGGAACCAGTAAGAATTGAAGAAGAATGGGATTATTATAAATCAACCATCACGAAGATATTAAAAGACAAGTGTGGTACCAGAAAGACGGGCAAAGGCAAGAAAAAGGGTACCGCTTGGTGGAATGAAGAAGTCAAAGAAGCAGTGTCAAATAAAAAGAAGATGTTTCAAATATGGTTAAAAACAAAAGACGAAAAGGATTACATTAGGTACAGACTAACTCGAAGAGACACCAAGAGAACAATAAAGAAATCCAAAGAGGAATCATGGAAAAAGTATGGTGAACACCTAACACAGCTATGTACAGAATCACCAAGAGACTATTATAAGAGTGTGAAAGCGATGCGATTAAGAGAAGAAAGCTTCAATCCAACATCAGTCATAAACGATAAAAATGGAAAAACCATTATTCAGCCAAAAAGAAATTAAAAAAAGATGGGAGGAATATTTTAAAGAACTTTTGAACCCGTCGGGAGTACATGAAAACAGCAGAATTCCATTCAAGGGCTCCAGATCATCTAGAACCACATATCCTGCGGGATGAAGTAGAGAAAGTTATCAAAACAAGTAAAAGACACAAAGCAGCTGGTATCGACGGAATAACAACAGAAGTCATCCAGGCTGGAGGGGACACTATGATCACCTGGCTGGAGAGAATTTTCAATAGAGCATGGGCAGAGAGAAAGGTACCAGTGGATTGGCAAAGATCAGTTGTAGTACCTATCTGGAAGAAAAAAGGAAACAAGAGAGAATGTGGAACTTATAGAGGAATATCTTTACTAAGTCATGTGGGGAAAATGTATGCAATGATCTTAGAAGGTAGGATAAGAGCAAAGGTTGAACCTCTACTGAGTAAAGCACAATTCGGTTTCAGGAAAGGGCGAGGTTGCACTGATGCCATATTTGCACTAAGACAAGTCTGTGAAAAGACACTCGAATACGATAAAGAGCTGAACGTGGTCTTTGTAGATCAAGAGAAGGCATTCGACCGTGTAGACAGAGATGTGCTGTGGAGAATTCTTGACGATTACGGAGTGCAGGGTCAATTATTAGACAACATCAGAGCCCTCTATGAAAAAAAAGTGAAAGTGCAGTAAGAACATCTAGTGGTCTTTCTGAATGGTTCAAAGTCACAACTGGTGTCAGGCAAGGATGTGTACAGTCACCATTACTTTTCATAACATACATGGATAAGATCACTGTAGAAGCAAACCCAGACGTGTATGCTATAAACGAATTACTTTTTGCTGATGATCAAAGCATACTGTATCAAAATGAATATGATCTACAGGAACATCTGACTACTCTCAACAACAGCTGTTTACAACATAATATGAGAATCAGTACAGAAAAAACAGAAGTTATGAAGATCAGCAGAACACACAGGCCACTGAATATAAATGTTGGAAGTGCCAAAATCAAGCAAACCAAAGAGTTCAAATACTTGGGCAGTATATTTACAGAGGATGGAAGAATGGACAGAGAGATAGAAACAAGAATACAGAAAGCAAATGCTGTCACATACCAACTATCACCTCTGCTTAAACATCCAGATATAACCATGAAGACCAAAAGACAATTGATAAACACCATCTTCATTCCAACACTCTGCTACCAGTGCCAGACATGGACAATCAACAAGACCCATGAAAGAAAAATAGAAGTCTGTGAAATGAAATGTCTAAGAAAAGCAGCGAATAAGACCAGACTAGACAGGATAAAGAATATAGACATTAGAAACACTGTCAAAACTACACCATGTTTAGACTACATAGAACATCAAAGAATGAAATGGTTTGGACATCTAACCAGGATGAAAAATGATCAAATAACATCACAAATTTTCAACCAAAGAAGCTCAGGATATAAGGCAAGAGGAAGACCAAGGAAACTGTGGATTGACGGGGTCTCCGAAACCTGCCAAAAGCATGGCCTCAGAACATCAGATGCTGCCCGCCTTGCTTATGACAGGAACTTGCATCTCCCCACAACGCTTAGCGGCATACGTGGAAGGAAAAAGTAAAAGTAAAAGTATATTTTTGAAAAAACCCAAATTTCAAAATGTGAACCCCATGCGTCAAATAAAAACCCTGATCTGGGGGTAAAAGCCCATCATTGGCAGCCCTGGTCTGAACAAGGATTCTCGTTGTATGTGAGATTCTCCTAGTTCCGGTTCCGGTACACTTGGTGGCTACAGGCCAATCGTTCTTGTAGGTAGCAGACTATGATTACAGTACAGGTAAAAACTGCAGTCTTGGAAAACATTTTCCTCAAAGATATGGTACTTACAACACTAAACAACAACCCCTCCCCCCTCCCAACCCAAAAAAAATGCATCGCCGGAACTACGGGATGTGTGGTCTACGCTTTATTATCATCCTCAGCTGGAAATTGTGAAGAGGAAATGGTGAGAGAAGAAGGAACTGATTTATAAACCGAATAAACGAGCAGCTGAGAAGTAAAGAGTAAAAAAACAGAGCGTATGGGATGCAAGCAGTGGGTTACAGGAACTGTCTTAGTGTCAGGGGAAAAAAAAGACCTGTCCTGCAGAGGCTAATTTGAGACTTCTATGTCATCATGCTTCTGTAATTAAATGTAAACAGACAAGTGACGGGATACAATACATCAGTTACATAAATCCGCATGGGCTGGGGAAGAAGAGAGTACTGTAAAGAAAAAGTATGTGGTACATGACCTGGGCCAGTCGAATCATAGTATAGTAAAGGTTCATACAGACAGATATTGGTGGCACAACGTAGAATGTAGTCAATGTGTATGCCGCACTGGACTCTATGGTCACCAATGAACACTCAGAATAGCTTGAAGATTCTGACAAAATCCCTGGTAATAGGCTTCTTATGTGTGTGGGGATTTCAGTGCACAGAACAAAGCATGGAACAGTACTGGAAAACAGACAAGGAAATACCCTACTAGAGGTTATGGCAGAAGTAGTTTTATAAATAATGATAAGCCAACCAGAATGGCAATGATATCTGGTGATGCAAACATGACTATTGACTTGGCTTTGTTTCCCAGTCAGCACTATCATCCAGTGCTGTCTTGGAAACTACTATTTGGCATGCTCAGTCTTGATTTTTAAACCCGTCAAGATCAAGGCTATGAAAATACGTAAGATTTTAAATCTGATAGAGCCAACATGTCTGGGATGCCTCCAACAGAAGATATGCAACCGAATCATCAGCTCTGCTTTTGTACAATCTACACAGTGAACTCTAGAAGTAGAACAAGCATGGAAAACAAAGAGAGCTTCAGTTAAACAATTGCACAAAGTGTGTAAGACACCTCAAAGGTTACAAGAGGTAGAGAAGGCAGAAAGGGTTAGAAAATAAAAAGTAGAAGTGTTTAAGTGAAGTGCAGAAGATGCAAAAAAAATATCTAAATGGAAATATTATATAAACAAAATTGGAGGAGATATATTGGTAGGAAGGTTATGGAAACTACACAGATAAATGCAAAGGAAAGATCAGTCTATCAGAACAGGTACAGTATACAGTGATAATGGTATGTCCATGACACCTAGGGAAAAAAAAAGGAAAGCACTTCTGCAGAGATTTACATCACAAAGTTATAATGATAAGGAAATTATGAGATTCAGTTAAAGATGGTCTGTCAAATACCATAAATGATAATTAATTACTTTGAGTTTATCATTCAGGCGAAGGATATAAAATATATATTGCAAAAAGCAAAGTACACTGTGCCCAGACCTTATGGAGTCAAATATGCACACATTAAGTACATGAATAATAAAGACTAGAGGGAAATGGCTTTTTGCTTCAACCAGAGCATCAGAAGACCCCTCCCCCAATCCCCATGACTGTGCACAGCTATTTAATCTCTCTTCTAAAACCAGGCAAAGACCATTCAAGACTCAGCAATTTCCGGATGATCAACCTACAAAATACTTTTGGCAGGGTGCTGGAGAAGATTGTTACAGTTAAACTGCAAGCTTTTTCAAAAGGAAACAACTCATACAAACACGTTTCATAGTTTCTGATCAGGAAGAGTTGGCTGGTCAAATACAGCCACATTAAATTTTGATGAGGGGTTCCAAAATAAGCAGGAGATAAATGTGGTGACACTTGATCTTGCTGATGCCCATAATAGAGTTATATATGATATTTTAATGTCTCCACACATGGCTAGACGCTCGCCGCGGATCAGAAGGTCGTGGGTTCGCTCCCTGGCAGAGCCGGACTTTTTTCAAAAATGACCTTGGCTCCCAGTTGACCCAGCTTTGAGTAGGTACCGGATGCAGTCCGGGGAACTAAAGGCGGACAGCGTGATGCTAACCACATCACCCATCTGTTGCTGATTGGTCTATAAAATATAGGTCTAGCCCTATATGCCCTTTACGCCTAAAGGCGAGGAAAAGGGTCCTTTACTTTACTTACTTACACATGTCTGGGTTTATACTCAGAGGCAAAACCGGTGAGTATGCATGTGTGTGTGGGGGGTGGGGGTGGAATCCTGCCACTGATCGTGAATGCATCTGCCAGGTCGACCCAGCCTAAAATGAGTAAGAGGTCATGTCTGTAAAGGCAGCCGGCATGATGTTGACCACGTCCCCCTTCGAGTCCCAATTCGTCTGTATAATATCACTGTATCCCCGATGCACCGAGAGCATGACGAGAGTCCTTTAGTTAGTTACTTACTAAATTGCTAATTCTTACTTACTAAATTGCTTAATAATTGTCTCTTTTCATCATAGTTATAAAACACAACCATGAGAAGAGGCTGTTTAGTTCTTCAGAAGAATATACAATCATTATGGGCAGTTTGGAAACAATGCCATTCAACAGCAGCTTTGTATGTTCATGTAAGTATGATGACTGAAAATATTGAATATGAAATATAATACTAAATAATTATCATACTGATATGTTTCAGCCACATAGTAAAACCAACAAATGCTTGGGCAGTTGGCTAGTACTAAATGAGTTAAGTAACATATTAATTACTTGTAAATATACTAACCTAAATTGTAAGATGAAAATGGATAGCAAAATATAAAAATTACAATAGTCTGAAGGTTACAGGTTAATGGTGAGAGAATTGACTTCATTGCACTGAGTTTTAACCAGCATGGCTCGGTCTTTCTCCACAGAGGGACTAACTGAGAGCATCACACAAAGCACAAACTCCAGAGCCCTGGTGGCAATCCATAGGGTTTTTGTACGAATTGCTCATGTAAGCCGAATAGTGCTGTCATGAAACAAACTCACGAATTTCAGAGCACGGGCAAAAAGCTTGACCACTTTGCAATAGAGATCCCCTCTCAATAGTCTGAAATTCGTGTGTGTACAAAAAAGGTCATGAAATCCCAAACTCTTATTGTGGTAGAATTTTCTGAACATGGCAGGTCATGCTGGTCGCACTTCCCTTTACCATGGGCTGTGAGTCCCATGTCCCCACATAGCACATTATAACTTTTATCGTGTGGAAAGAAGGAATGGTGCCAGCAACAAATACCTGTGTATTTTCTTAAGTCATGCATTTAGGAGGATGAACTTTCTACTGTAACACCATATTTATAAAGCACTTGGCTTTGGAAATGTGTGTTTGTTCCTCTGTCTTTTCTTCACTTGAGCATATGCCACTCTGATGACCGTGCTTTGCATGTTGGCCCAAGGTCACAGCAAGCAGGGCAAAAAACTTGTGCAAGAGATGACAGCACCAGAAACTCTGAGCTGGAGAGTTGAGCGAGAAAAAGCCAGAGGTCGGCTCTTGGTCACTTGCGTACCAAAGGTCGAAGAAGACAGTTGTGATGTAGTTGGTGTAGTTTAACTGAAGTGTATTAAACGTTGTTTGAATGGTTATTGTGGAAGTTAGCAGTGAGGGCTGTGATTGAATAAACTGTGGTTTGATAGAGTGGAAGAATCAGAAGAAATAAACTGGCAGAACTTACATCGGAACCTGAGCGCCATTCTGCGTTTTTAATTGTGGACAGTTGTGTTTGTTCCCAAGTTGGTAGCTGTGCATGTTTGCAGCAAGGTCACATGAAGCCACGATGCTAGCTAGAATGTGAAACCCTAGACTGGAAGCCAGGATAGAATTTAGCAATATTGAAAGCAGCCAGCAAAATTGCAGTAAAAATAAAACTGACTTTACTGCCAGTATAAGCCACTTTTAGTCAGTGTAGGACACAGGATCTTGAGTCTAAAGGTTTAGGGCCTCACGGCTAGTGCATTCACCACAGACCGTTTAGGTAAGAGTTTTATTTTATATTCTGACAGAAAAAAAATCTCCACCTTAGCCATAATTTCTTCTTCTCATTCGCCATCTGTAACTTTGGCGGAAAGTTCTGGTTGTTCGTCGACCTCTGGATTTTAGTCTTGTTCCAGAACCTGAGTGTTGCATGCGCATCCTTTTTACAGATCTGACTTATTTGTATTCAGGTTGTTGTTTCCTTGCCTCTCAGGCAGATGCACTCTGACTTCCAAGGAAGCCCCATTTAGTAAACTCTTACTACATGTTTGTTGGGGAGGCAGTGGATCTGTTCTTTTTTTCTGCCACAGTGGAGCCCCGTAACCCACACCATGATTGGCACCTTTCCATCTTTCCAATCTTTCCAAACGATAGTGTTATATTGTTCTATAAGGAGGCATGGGACTCACAGCCCATGGCGATGCAAATGTGACTAGCCAGACCCACCCATGTCAAGAAAATTCTTCTACATTGATAGCACCGGATTTCAGGTCATTGTTTCAAAATTTATGTTTAAACCATTTCTTCTCAGACGCTCAGCTCTCATCTTTTCTGCATTTATTTCTTCTTTTGCTCTCATTCCCTTTCTGATATGCCCTCTCCACACAACACGGTCCATGGCATTTTGTTCCCATGAGTCCACCTCACTACCTGTATCATTCATGTCCTGCTTGCACACATCTTTATACCATAATAGAAGTCGGCCTCAACATCTTCTACCTGCCTTTAATTCACCATAAGGGATGTCCTTAGGGACTCTGCCATCCAGGTGTGACCCAGCTACCCGAGCCTTCGTAGATTGAGCATACTGTTGTAGTACCTGCTCTTTCCAGTACCTCAGTGTTTGTGATTTTGTCCTGTTACTTAATGCCAAGTATTTTTCTTAGGCATCGCATGTGAAAGCTATTTAGCTGTCTCTCTTGATGCAAATAAGCTGACCAAGTTTCACTGCCATAAAGCAGAGTGCTGAGAACACAAGCCTGATAGACAAGAGTTTTTGTTTTAATTGTAAGCTTTTGTGTTCTCCCAAAAGCACTAGGGTAGCATAGATTTCAGCCTGGGTGTGTCAGAATTCTTCACCTCTTAGCCAGCCAATTTAAGTCACTGTTCATTCTATATCTGATCCCATTGCCATAATTAAATCTGTCATTTTCTCCAGGTGAGTAAGATCCATTATTTATGGACACATCTGGCAGTACTGATCTGTATAATAGGCTGTGCACACAGAATGTTTTAAAGGCTCTCTTCTTATTCCTCCTGCTCCTCCTCTTCTCCTTCTTCTTCTTCTTCATCTTCTCCTTCTCCTCCTAGTCTCCTTCTTCTTCTTCTTCATCATTCTGAGCTCTTGAGCTTCATTGCTCATTATAGGCCTGCGTGGATATTATCTCTTCACCAATATATTGGTCTTCCTGGTCTAGGACCATTCAACTTTCATGTGTACACAGTTGTTACCTCTCTGTCATCTGACATTCTTTCAGTATTCCCCTTAATCAGACCTGGAGATAGTATAGATTACTAAGTAGTTCCTCAGTCCTGTAGAAAATTATCTAGGCCATAGAATTGCCAAGATGGACACAATTGCAAAAATCTGCCACTGCTTCTTGTAAAGTAAAAAAATAGGACCCCTTTTCACACCATATCAGAATAATGGGAATATGGTGCTTGCTCGGTATTTTTTTTTAAATCAGTCATGCACAGTTATTTAATTATATGTAACTTTGTTTGCTTATTACTCACTTATAATTTCAGGTCACTGTTTCTTTGTATGTATGCGGTTTGAAAAAATGAAATTTTGATCAAATGGTACTGTTGCTTTTTAATTATAATTTTTTGTAAAGGATTAATAGGACTAATATTACGTAAGAACCAGCTATGCAGCGACCAGCATTTTTACCAGAAAGTGTTCAGTACTTGTGTGTTTGACTCCCCATTTCCACAGTTGGGTTCCAGGCCCCCATTTTGGGCAGAAAGGCAGTGGAAAAGACCCACTGTGCCCCCCCCCCCCCCCCAACAAAAATGATGTTTTATTTAAAAAAAAACATAAGATGCATATTTAGGGGTATTTCCTTTGAAGACTCAGTGCATCTACCTGTGCGGTGAGAAACCAGCACTCTGCTTACAAATAAGCAATATCTGTAAAACGGATGTGCACACAGAACTCAAGTTCTGAAACCTGACAAAAGTCCAGAAGTAGACAAACAACCAGAACTCTCCGCCAGAGTTTACATTAATTTATACTTAACTGACTTATGACTTAATGTTTCATGTGTCGTTTGTTTTGTTACAGTGGCCTTATTGTAAAAGGAGGTGTACCTACTGCAATTTTAACAAATATGTTGAGTAAGTATGTCATAAAACTAATTCATCTGCTGCTGTTTATTCTATTTTTGAGCATTGTCATCACCCAACTCATGCAAAACCATTCTATCATTCGCCACCTCCTGCTGCTTCATCAATTTTGTTCTTATATTATTAATCTCTATTTTCTCTTAATTATCTTTGTGTGTATTTAAGTATTTCTTTATCTTTCTGTGCCCTGTGGATTCTGGCGAAAGGACATTCTATTATACTATTATGAGGTTTATTCATTTTATGTTTTATTCATCATCAGTGTCTTTTTCTCAGTGTTGATTTTCTTGAATTTGTTTAATAAATTCCATAACCTCTACATTAATGATTTTGACCAACTTTTTAATTTTTTTATTTATGAACTCCTTCTATTCTGTTAACTCTGTCACCATAAGAAGCCACAAACCTGGCATTTCTGCTTGTGACTCAATCCTGTAAATGCCCCTTGTATCTTTGCAGTAACTTGTTTCTGAGAAGCCCATTTAATAGCGTTGACGTCTTTTGTGCGCCTCCACAGTGTTTGGGATGCCTGGACATGAATATATTTACTAAAAATAGCATTTGCTTGGTTTCTTGTGACATCATAATTTGACTAAAGCCTCAGTGTTATGGTCATGAGTTACCCAGTAAATTTTTAGGTATTCCATTTAACATTTCATTAGTGTGTTTTGATTACCCCATTAATATATAGGGGGGGGGGTGGGGGGGGGGTTATGTATATAAATAAATTGTTCAACAGTAAGTATATCAGTGACCTGGGTCAAATGGTTGGTTTTTCCTTTAAGATTTTTTTTTTAAAGAATTCCAGTGGGTTTCTTCCTTTTTCTTATTCAACATTCACAGAGCGAAATGGTTAAGACATGCCCATGCCCTTATAACAAAATTAAAGAATAGTAGCACTTATTCTGCCAGTGATATCATAAGAGCCACCTATGAGTTAGGTTAGCCTTGCTACCTCATTATGTAAAAAACAATGCTGCACAAACCATCCGCTGTCAGGCACATACAATGGGAAGGACATAGAGTGAAGAATTCTATGTCAAGGCAATATATGGGTTAACTTGGCTTGAATTTGTTGAAATGGAAATAAAGAGCAAAAGCAGAAGAAGAAAAAGTAGACTTCTGCACAGACACTAATTAATAAATTTTTTTTTTTTTTTTTAGGGGACAAAATGTATATGCACAAGCATGTGCGCCATCATGACATGGAAATGCATCTAGACCACAAATGATTGATAGTATGTGTGACAGAAGGCTGCGGATAAACATGATTACCAACATGGTGTAGTATGAACCATAAGAAGAAAAATATTCCCAGTAATATACAAGGACATGAAAACGTGGTCATTTACCTTTCTTATCTTTAAAATTCATTCTAGTGCATATTCATACTATGACCTACAATCTCCATGCCCTAACCACAGCTATATCATTCAGAAAAACGTGCCTCACCTAACGCTATTGACCTGAGGAAAGATAATGTGGCATCAAAGTTCTTTCCTTGAACTACTGATTAAAAAAAGTGTCATATTGTTAAGGTCCTTGACATAATTGCTAAGCCCTTGAATTTATCTAAGTTTTGCATCAAAGCAGATTTTTTATTCAAAATCGACCTTGGCTTCAAGGTTGGTCTAGTCTAAAATGGGCACCACGCAGGGCCTTTTCCAAGAAAAACAGTGCCAGTACTCACCACAGACTGTTGGGTACCACCAGAAAAAAGTCCTGGTATAGGGTAATTTTATTGGAAAGGAAAGGCAGCCGGTCTTTTGGCCACATCACCCGTAGAGAGCACCAGAAGTTTAAACAAGGGCATTTAACTGACCTGTTTTATAGACGCAAGTAGAGTTAGTCTAAAAAAAATTGTCTTCAATCATTATTTGTTTAAATATTTAAAATGTTGAATGAAGAATCGACATCACAGCACTCGGGACACCCCCATAAGCGCTCCATCCCCATCTTTAGCAGCAAGCGAGGAGTTTTTAAATATTCAAGTGTTTATTCTAGGAGGAGCACAGATAGCTCAGAGGCTGAATAATTTGGTGTCATATTTAGGACACCCTGGATTCCAGTCTTGTATTTTTTTTTTTTTATCCATAGTAATTTAAATAAAAATCTTAGCCTGGACACCAGATTCAGTTAATAGTCTTTAACCTGTTTTATAGACGGATATGATTGACTGCACACACAAACAGAAAACTGTGGTCCAAGTATTGATTACCGCCACATGTCTTGAACACAGAAAAGAAAGAACTAGGGATGGGGGGGGGGGGGGTTCGGCCATCTTGTTACAGTACGGATAAATGTTTCTACATGCTGTTTACATGAGCTAGCCTTACACGAGGCATTCAGATTACATTTGTTTATATAAATGATAACAGTGTTTATCTACTTGTCCTTGACATAGTAAGAACCACTACGATTTATTTATTTTTGAATTTCAGCAAATCTGTTGATCACCAGCGTATGAAGGCATGTCTGATCAAGGAAGCAGAAACACTCATGGGCATGGCTGGTGTTATAGAAATCACCTCAGTGTTTTTCGGTGGAGGTTAGAAACATTTGACCTACATACACATAAGTGAAAGAAAAAAGTAAAAGTCCCTTTTGACCCCAGTGGTGCATCATGTATATGATGCTAGACTCTTTTTTATAGACCACTCAGTGATGAGGGAGTCGCTGCCATGTAGCGGCTAGACGCTTGCGTGCGGATCAGAGGTCGTGGGTTCGCTCCCTGCAGAGCCGAACTTTTAAAAAAATTACCTGTGTATCAGTAAGGCTGGTGCATATGCTTTTCTCCTGCCTAGTGTCAAAGAACCATCTCAACAGGGACTGTGTTGCAGAGCCCTCTTTTTCTAAGAAATCAGCAAATTGTGGGTCCCTTTTTTGGTTTTGCTGTTCCCATTTGGGGGATGAGTGGAGAATAAGCCCATCATCCATCTAACAAGCATGTCTTTAAGTGCGACTAACTAAAAGTATGCTGAAATTGGATGTGTTAGGTTGAAAGATGCAGATATCATAACCTAGCTGCAAACTAAAAAACAGTATGCCAAGTGCGCTTTTAATAGTGAAAGCAGAAAAAGAAGCAAAGGGTGTAAAACTAGTGCTGGACCTTCAAATCTGTGGAGAACATATTCAAATAAAACCAACACAATAATTCAACACAACTTGTACAGACTAACTGAAATTAGACTGGGGCTGGTAACGCTTTTTCCATAAGTTTTAGGTATTTTATTTTCAACACACTCTATGCTAAGAGGGAAAACATAGGCATAATATTTTCTCTCCTAACAGTTCTTGTATTAGCTGACTTTGTTAACTTTAATATCTTCTGACCCAGATTGACATTATTTTTAAAAAAATGTATGCTGGATCCTTTCAAACCTACCCTTTTTATGTAGGCTGTTGTTCTACTATCAGCAGTTGCTTCCATAGTTTGACTGCAGTGATGGAATCTTAGCTGTTCTCTTCTTTGACCTTCACTACAATATAATGTGTTCTGGATTCCACAATTTTTCTCCATTCCACAGTGTTTCTCAATTCCACAGTGTTTCTCCGCTACATTGTCCTCAGCTAAAGGGGAAATATTCCTGCTTGACAGAAAATAGCTGTTTGTTGGTCAGCATGACATAGAAACTAACTGCAGATTTCTTTGCATTGAGTTCAATAACAGTGCGAGCATTCATAAAGCAACGTTAAACTTGTGATTTAAAATTGCCTAGTAAAACCACAAACTGCCAGTAAAGGCTGGGGTTGGTTAGAGACTTCCTGTAAGGAATATGCAACTAACTTTATTCTTATGTACAATTTATTTCTCATGCATGTATCAGTGCTGATATGTTATTCTTTTGTTTTATTATCAGGCACTCCAAGTCTGGCAAAGCCAGAGACCATTGAATATTTTTTAGATGCAGTTTGTCACAGAGCTTTCATATCAGACAAGTCAGAAATTAGCATGGAAATTAATCCAACCTCTCTGGAAATAGAAAATTTAAGGTAAGATACTGAAACACGTGTAGACACAGTAGTATTGTGGCTAGCACACTGCCTGCCTGCTTGGTTATCCACCTGATTTAGAAAATTAGGTTAATGCAACCTAAAGGGGTACCAGGATATGTTCTAAGCTGTAAAAACTGCTGCATGACATCCCTCACTTAATTCTTGCATCAAGCTGTCATATTTTACCAAATATAAGATTTATTTAAAAAAAAATATCAGGTCTTTAAAAATAAAAAAAAGTGTCCGTCTTATATAATGGTCAGTTTATTTTTTTTTAAATCAAATTAGTTATTAAAAATATCTCATACAGGCCTTCTTTGGGAATGCCAGTTCAGAAGTGACAGTCTTCTGAGGACAGTTTGACACCAGCAAGTTGTGTGCAGAAACCAAATATAGGAGAAATTTGTAAAAAGATCCTGGGATAATGTGATGATTGAGATCATTGTCAAGTTTTTCAAGAAGAATGGGCATCTCAAATGCCACAGATGGAACTGAGGATGAGGCAATATACAAAGATAGTAATTCATCATCAGGCACAGATGAGGACAAGGTAAAGAACTACCATATAGATGAGAGTTTTGACATTGATGAAGAGTTTTCTTAATTCTCTGATGAAAAAAAATACAAGTTCAAAAACTGTAAAATCATATAATTTTTTTGTTTAAATTTCCAATCCCAAAATCAAGGTGTATCTTATATGTGGGATTGTCTTAAACTTGGAGAAATATGGTATGTTTCTCTGTTGAGGACGATTATTGTCACTGACGTGTATATTGGTGTGTATTAAAGATACGGAATGAAAGTTAAATGCATTTTAAAGCAAATGCCTGAGAAAAATGTTGAACATAAAATGGGATGAATTCAAGAGGGCTGAAGAAATAAGAGACATGTCTTGGCAGCCACTGTTAACAGCAGTTATACGACAAAGAAGATGGCTCTATACTGGACACATCCTGAGAATAAACATGCAGAAAACCATTAAACAGGCACTAAAATAGGAAGTAAAAGAATTGAGGAAGCCAGGATGCCAAAAAATAAACCCTAAAATGAATGTTTATGATAGAGAAGAAACCCTAAAATGAATGTTGACAACAGAGGCCAATGATGCTGGACAGGATTCCATGCCTGATATTGAATTGATTGCACAGGATATTATTGATTTGAGGAATAGACTGCGAGCGCTGTGTGACATATAATGACACAATAGGACAATGATGAAGATGCATATATTGCAGTTGAATAGATTAGAACTTCCAAGATATACACTTTTCCGATATCTGGGTGTAATTTTACATGCCTGCCTGCTGGTGGTCATTTGACACTCTGGCAGTGGTAAAGTAGAATTAGTGGATTCTTTTCCAGCCAGTGGTTTATCTTGGGTATGCTGTTAGATCCATATTTTCCTCAATTGGGGGGTTGTCAGCATCATGTCAGACATCTTTACCTTCTAGGACATTTCCAGGTACCAATTTTAGACTGAGCTAACCAAGCATCTAGTTACTGGCCTACCACAGCTCCCTAAATTCGTGTTTTTAAGTTAATTGCATATCCTTTACAAGACATTGTAGAACCAACCCCAACATGCTTTTAACTGTTTGTGATTTTACTAGGCCATTATACATTCAATATTTTGTCATTGCTGTCTAAAAGGTCTGTTCTTGATACCATTGCCAAAATCAGTGCAAGGCTGTCTGCTGCCAAATTGCATGCAGCTAGAATCAAACTGCATATCTCAGCATTACAAACTGCATGCACAACGCCTAAGCCACAGCCGCCTGTATTTAGTCTTAATATCACTGGCATGCTGTAGTCATAAGTCTCACTTACTCATATATTATAATTTAAACATATTAATTCACAAAAGAGCTGTGTATGTTCTAGTCATTCATCACCATTATTAATATTTTGTAACTAGCATTTTAAAATCTATGATCAAATTTTGTGTCAGTTTTTACTAAGATTCTTGTATTTTTGTATTCTCCACATACAGGTTGTTTAAAGGTGCTGGAGTTAATAGAGTGTCTATAGGAGTACAGACTCTGAATAAAACAGGTCTGCAGATCCTCGGTAGAGACCACACAGCTTATGAGAGTTTAAGGTATGTTTTAAATCTATACGATCTGAAAATCTGGATAGAACAGAATAGTCGCCGTGGGGTAGCGGCTAGACGCTCGCGTGCAGATTGGAAGGTCGTGGGTTCACTCCCTGATGGATCTGGACTTTTTCAAAAATGACCTTGACCCCTAGGTCGACCCAGCCTTGAGTGGGTACCGGGTGCAGTCCTGGGAAGTAAAGGCGGCTGGCGTGATTATGACCACATCACCCATCTTGTGCCGATTGGTCTATAAAAATATAGGTCTAGCCCTATATGCCCTGTATGCCTAAAGGGGTGGAAAGGAGACCTTTAATTTTTTACTTATATAACAGAATGGAAAAATAGACTGTGAGACCTATGTGACATATAATAGCACAGTAGGGCCACGAATTAATGATATGAAAATGTTTATGTAGTTTGGACAAATGGCATATCAGTCATCAATGTAGGAGACATTTTCCCCCATACCTTCTCTTTCACACCTAAACAATCCATGATGTCTTACTGATTATTTCCCACATCTCAACCTTTACATCAAGTATCGTCTACTTAGCGGCATCCGTGGCTTAGGCGTTGCGAGTCCGCCTCGTAATCCAGCGTACCGCGATCAAAACCCACAGCTGGCTGCGTGGATTTTTATCGTGGTATGGGGTGTCGCAGGTCGACCCAGCCTAAAATGGGTACTAGGGTGACTGTCTGGCGTAATGCTGACCACATTACCCATCCAGTGCCGATTGGTCTGTAGAAATGTGGGACGCTCTTCCCATATACCCGATGCGACTAAGGCGTGAAAAGGGATCTTTACTTTACTTTACTTTACTTTACCATCGTCTACTTAAGTTTTGATCAGTGTATACTAAATAAATCTGGCAACCTCAGAGGTATCCTTCATTCATTTTCATTTCCTAAAGCACAGCAGGTGGTTAAGTCCCATGGGAGTATTTAATGAAAAACATAGTATACAAAACTTTGGACCCAAAAAAAAGTTACGGTGTATTGGTCATATGGTGCTAGCGCCCATATTTTTTGTAATTTATCAGCAAGTATTGGATGTGGTCAATATTATGTCAGCTGTTCCTGTGTGGGTTCCAGAGCCCCATTGTGAGGGACAACAAGAACAGACCACGGCTTCCCAACATACATTGTGTAGGTGTCGACTGATTGGGGGCATCCTCGAAGTTGGAATACAACTGCTTGTGAAGCAAAGGAACCAAGAGTCTGTATACAGATAAGGTAGATGTGATATGTGAAAGCATGCGACGCGCAGGTTCTGGAACGAGACTAACGTCTGAAGGTGGATGAACACCCAGGACTTTTAGTCTGAGTTTATGGCCAGTGAATGTGAAGAAGAAGAAGATGTCTGCTGCATTTATTTCCCAGAACAATATCTGCTACTAATTTTTAGAATGTGTGTATATTAACACAGAAGCCAGTAGTAATGAGAATACCTGTTACGGTCAATAAATTTTTTTTGGGGGGGAAGGGGGGGGTGGTGAATCTCTTTAGTGAAGGTTGGCTGCTGTGCATCCACAAATGCTTTGGGAATTATTATGTGGTGAGGGCCCAGTCTCTTCCACAGTATAACTATTATACTACTGACTGAAATCCATGAAAATGCTCTGTACTAAATATTACATAAGTTTCAATATAATTATCATGTGACATTAATTCTGCTTCATAAAAGACCTAGCCATGCATTCTTAAGCATCTGGGGGTAAAAGTTATAATCTTTTCATACCTTTTTTGTGTGTGGCAGATGTTTGGAAATGGCAAAAGTTCTATTTCCTGGCCGTGTGTCTGTGGATTTAATTTTTGGCTGGCCGGGACAGACTTTGGATATGTGGTTGGCAGAGCTTGACCAAGTATGTATTTGTGAAGTTTGATATTTCAATCATGATAGATCATAGGTGCCTGAACAGTTTAATCACATATAGACAATAAGTGTCATTTAACTCTTTGAGTCCCAAGGAACGCATCATACGTTCATAGTTTCCTACCACGGCCTTCTCTGTTTATATAAATAGCTAAAGATGGGGTGTTTCCTACCTAGAAGCCCAATGAACACATGATGCGCCGATTTTAAGACTCTATTTACTATCCCCTGGGCCTGTGATGCAAAACCCCCTGGAACTTAAAGAGTTAAAACTGGCAAAGACAGACTTTGGATATGTGGTTGGCAGTGCTTGACCAAGTATGTATTTGTAAAGTTTGATATTTTAATCATGATAGATCATAGGTGCCCGAATAGTTTAATCAAATATAGATAGTAAGTGTCATTTAGAACTTTGTTGAGTGTTTGCATATAGTGTCATCTGTTTCCTATGTATTCCTAGTCCGGTACATATCAGGTTGAATGGTATTTGTCTGAAGGAAGTTAACAAATTTAAATATCTAGGAAGTATATTCTCTTAGGATGGAAGAATAGATTGGGAAAATAGAAACAAGATGCCAATCAGCCAGTGCAGTTATATACCGACTGACACCGTGATTTAGACATCCAAACATAAGTATAAATGCCAAGATACAGATTATTAACAGCATATTCATACCAACACTGTGCTAACAGTGCCAGACTTGGACATTATCAAAGGCTAACCTACGTAAAATTAACACCTGTGAAATGAGATCCCTGAGAAAAGCCACCAACTTAACCATCCGAGATCAAGTTAAAAATGACATTATCATACAGACTGTAGGAACAACACCATGCAGCAAATTCATTGAGAAACAGAAGATCATATGGCTTGGTGATTTAGTAAGAATGCAGCCAGAAAAATAACAACGCAGGTGCTACACATGAAAATATCTGAAGTGATGACAGAACTAATAACTTTGTGCTATGCATATGGTAAACACATGTGTATGAGGTGTGTTTATATACCAAGTAATGTGCAGGTGATCAGCGCCTCTCCATGCCACCTTTCACTTCCAATTTTTTTTAAACTGTGGAATCCTAGCACCAAATGATGAAGGATGCATTGCCATCAAACTGATATTGATAAAACAAAAATCTTGTCCCTACCAAAGATTGAATGTTATCTACATTCCACCAAATCATTATGTTGAAAAATAAATTTTATATTTATTCTGAAAATCAGCAGAGGTCAGTAAAAACCCTCCTTTTAGTGTAATGTTCATAATGTTAAAACATTAAATGATTTTGTTTAATTACAGATTACTTTCTGTGTTATCTCAGCTAGGAAATATTTAATGGAAAAAATCTTTTGTTATGTGTTTTTGTTAAAAATTAAAAATTTTTCTATGATACCCTAAGTGAGTAATATTTAATGACAGATCCTTTTGTTATTTGACATGACATCATAATGTTAATGTATTAAATACTCTGTTTTGTGTCACAGGTGATCTCTTACTGTGACAATCACGTATCACTGTACCAGCTAACCCTTGAGAGAGGAACACAACTCTTCAAGCAAATTCAGAGTGGACATTTGGTACATTTCTTCATTTAGATCATTTTATTTTTTTTTCCTTTTCTAGCATTATTATAGACCTAGAGTATTTTTGTGGTTTTAAAATTTTAAAAAAAAAGGGACAGTTAACTTTAAGTATAATTTTATAGCTACAGTAGTAAAGTAAATTAAAAGGTGTTTTTTTCCATATATTCAGCCACATAAGGCATATAGGGCTAGACCTATATTTTATAGAGCAATTGGCACTCTGTGGGTGGTGTAGTCAACATCATGTCAGCCACCATTACTTCCCAGAAATTTTACCTGGTACCCGTTTAAGGCCTTATTGACATGGGAGCCAAGTTCATTTTTTTTTAATGAAGTCTAATATAGGATCTAAACACATATTTTTTATAAATCAATAGGCATGTCTTGAGGGATGTGGTCAGCATAATGCCTGCTGCCTTTTCTTCCTATTTTATTACTTGGTACCCGTTAATTGGCTGGGTCGACCTGGAAGCCAAGATCAGTTTTGCAAAAAAATATGCTTCAGTGCAAATTGAAACTCAGAACCTTCAGGCTGACAGACTTGCATCTGCTCACGACGTTACTTATGCTCCCAGTGTGGTAGTTGGTGCACTAAATTCCTAAGACAGTATCTCATGTTCAGTTCCTAGCAGTGGCAGGCTTATTTATTCTGTAACCAGTATGGCTCTGGATGAACCTAGCCTTGAAAAATGGGTACCAGTAATTATCATTCTCTTGTGAGAATTGTCTGGGACAGACACCCCATTTTATTATGATTTGATGTGGAATGGGATGAATTCAAGAGGGTTGAAGAAATAAGAGAAATATCTGGGGAACCACTGATAACAACAGTTGTACAACAAAGTAAATGCTGCTATATTGGACACATCCTGAAAAGAAATGAGTAGAGAATCATAAAACAGACACTGAAATGGAAAATGAAGGGACTGAGGAAGTGAGGATGTCCAAAATAAACCTTAAAATGAATGTTGATAAGAGAGGCCAGAAGGGCTGGACTGTATTCTGTTTATGATGTCAAAGGGATTGCATCAGTTAAAATGAAATGGAGGAATAGACTGGGAGCCCTATGTGAAATATAATGGCACAACAAGGCAGTGATGGTATACAATGTGTGAAGATCTAGCACCCCCACATATCAACATCAGTGTCTGCCATCTGATTAGAAAAGTAATTCCCTAGATTCAGCCATTGGGATATGAAGTGTGAGCACATAAAACTAATCAAATTTAACTTCACTTTTTTAGAACAGGTCACCAGATCACTGCAGACATTGCCATATTCAAGGGACTGTGTTCAACCAGAAGTGTCTAGATGTAGTCTTCTGAAGGCTACAGAGTTAATTGTTCTGTTTTATTTTCTTCTTGCTTGTAAAGTATATTATTATTACTAGAATAAATTTGTGTCATTGCAGATATCAGTTGATCCCTCAGTTGTGGAAGACATGTACCTTCAGGCTGTAAAAGTAGGTTTCATTAACTAAATTGGTGACATTGGAGAAATTAATTTCTAGTTTATTTTTTTATTTTTTTTTACTGTGGTAATCTAACAGGAGTTTTTAAGTTTTGTCAAAAATATGTTAGTCGTGTATAAATCTTATTGCATGGGCTCAGAAATAACCCTTCAGAAATAATGTTTAGGTTTGGAAGTAAATTTCTGTAGCCTGTTACCTTGTGGAATCAAGTTCTCACTACGAAGGCACAGATTACACTTCAGCAGTTGCTTTAATCTGATCCTCAATGGTCATTATTGGTAATAGTAATGTAAAGTTTATTCAAAATTCTACTACATGAAAACACACTCCTTACCAGACCCGCCTTGTGAACACACTGAAATAAAACAGAAATCCTATTTTGAATGTATTATAGGCTTGCAGAGTCTCAGTAAATTGAATATGAGGCAATTTTGAATCACCTTAAATGGTGCATGGGGTATTGAAAGTTGATAGCAGTTATCAGTTTTCAAGTCATAGCTTGTCTGTGGTGCCACTGTTTACTACTTATAAATATTATAATTGATCGTTTGATCGTTGTTGAAATTGTACTTCAATTATAAAGCATTCACTTTTTTGCTTCATTTATGTAATTGTTACTGTAGTATGTACCTGACGAGATACAGCGAAATATGCAAGGCAATAAATTGCAATCTATTGTTTGTGTCTTCTTTGTTCAAATATTATAATTGTTTTCTACAGATGTTGGCTGGTAGAGGTTTCGAAAGATATGAAGTCTCTAACTTTGCAAGACATGTAAGTTCCTGTGTGTTTGATCGCAATAATTGTTATTTGTTAATTATAATCAGTAGTTCCACAGGATACTACTCATTTATGTCCAAATTTGTCACGCTGTATATATTTAAAGTTTTTGACTTGGTATACCCTGCTTTCCTAAGTAGATAAAGGGATGTGTCTGAACTTTAATTAACAGAAAGGAAAATATACAAGCTTCCTGTCATATTTTATAAAGAAGTTTTGATTTACTGATCTGTAAAAGTAGTTAATTAAACTGTTAAATATTAACCTTTTTAGCTTTTTTGGGGGGTGGGGGGGGGGGGGGGGGGGGTAATTATCAGGATTTATGTACAAAAGTGTTATTATTCTTCACATTGTTTTGAATAATGTTTTTATTAATTTAATTATTTATTTGAATTATATCCACAATTAATTTATTATTTTATTATTTTTTTTTCATTCTGCTACCTTTTTTGTTTCTAGAACAGCTACAGTCAACATAATCTGTCGTACTGGACAGGTCATCAGTATATTGGAGTAGGACCAGGTAGGTTCTCATATTATTCAAAGGCTGTCATGGTAACTTTCTTAAAGTCCATGCCATGTGGCGTTTGTAGTCATGTCTATCCACAACCTTCTGTCGCGTGTACATTCAATCAACTCTGACACACAGGATCTTCCATGTGGTGATGTCAGACTGTCCAGCATCTGTTTTCTCAGTCTCCCTCTGCCTCTTCTCCCCTCCAACTTTCCTACTGTCACGATGTACTCTAGTTTTCTCCTTCTCATCACTGGAACAAAGAATGTAGATTGTCTCTTTCTGATGTAAAGCAATCAGTTCTCTTCGTGAGTAAATTTCTTTCAAGACGTCTTCATTACTGTTTTTATCTGTCCAGAGTATTCTCATCATTCATCTCATGGTAACAGACTACATATATTTACATCGGATAGATGTGCTAGGATGTTGATATGAATAACTAGTAACCAGGTTCTTATTTCTAATGATGGCATTATAACCTATACAGCTCATATAATTTACTTAAAGCTCTGTTAGTCACATTACAATACAATAATCATTGTGTTCCAGTGAATGAAAAATTGAAAAGTAAACATCAGAAACCAAAAGTTGGGCATACTGCTATTTTAAAAGGGAAGCAAAGAAAAGTAACACTGTAATGTAACATGCATGTCATAAGAGGCAGTTAAGGACAACTGATATGAGAGTGACTTGCTCATCCTATAAAAAAAATTTATTTGCAAACCAAGTTGATCATAAATATGAAGGCAGTAACAAACCACAGACCTACCAGCCACTATCTTTTCCAGAAGTCAAAACTCTCATTAAGAGAAAATCAGAAACAGATTGGAAAACCAACACTGGTTATAACTACGAAAAAGATTTTCTGAAACACTTGAACAGAACAGACCAAGTCACAGTTTTTCGCTTACGCACTGGACACTGCAGACTCAATAAACACTCACATAAATTAGGTATGAGCCAAACAGCTCTCTGCCGGTGCCTTCGTGCTGAACAGACTCCAGAACATGTCCTGCAAGACTGTCCTCTCCTGGCGGAGCTGCGGAGCGACATATGGCAACACCCAGTAGAACTGACAACTAAGCTTTGGGGAAACCTAAGAGACCTTGAAAAGACATCCCAGTTTATGACCCACAGTGGATTATGCGCATGACCAGAGATCGCTGAAGAAGAAGAAGATCATAAATATAACTAAAAAGGGGTTGGCATAATTTAATTGAGACCCTATGCTCCATAGGGAGATAAAAAGCATAAAAAGAAAAAAAGTGTTTTTAACAAAAATAAAATTAAATGCTTGTTGATTCATTAATGCTCCCCGTTTGGGTTCGGGTTCCTTATTATAGAGAAAACGAGAATAGACCCACTGCTTACCCAAAATCATGTCGTAAGATTCGACTAATTTGAAGTCAGAGTGCATCTACCTGAGAGGCAAGGAACCAGCAGTTTGCAAACAATTGAGTCAGATCTGTAAAACGAATGCACATGCAACACTCAGGTTCTGGAACAGGACTGCAGTTCAGAAGTGGATGAAAAACCATAACTTTCTGCCAGACTTTACAGCTGGTGAACACAAAGAGGAAGATTAATCGATGCAAGCATATAGGGCTGGAGAACTTGCTAAGAGACAGAGAGACTTTAAGGCGTGCCATGACGAGAGCAACGAGGTGAAAGGACCTGCTGATGATGTTGATTCATAAATATGCCTTCTATTGCAAGCTTTTATATTGTCCATTTTAATGAAGGTGCGCATGGAAGATTCAAACCTGTAAACAAGGAGTGTAGAGAAGCAAGAATCCAGACTCTTGAGCCAAACAATTGGATGTTGGAAATAGAACATTGTGGCCATGCAACACGAAAGTCATCTGCATTAAGTATACTACAGCAGTGAGTTTGCATAATATTGTCACATGAAATTTTTATATTGACAGTTTTCGTCATTCCAGCATTTGAAAACCTATATGATATTTGATTTCACCAATTGTTCATCATTAAGGAGTTGGAATTAGGCTATAAAGGTTACAGAAAGACTAATTAACAATCCGATCCGTGTAACTTTGACATACTTTTAAGTTTTAAAACAAATTTACTTTAGCAGTGTAGATGTACCTTAACTCTTTGAGTCCCAAGGAACGCATCATACGTTCACATGTTCCTACCTAGAAGCCCAATAAACGCACGATGTGCCGATTTTATGACTCTCTTTACTACCCCCTGGGCCTGTGATGCAAAACTCCCTGGGACTCAAAGAGTTAAGTAGGGTTTTTTTTTTTTTAAATCTTTGAAACACGAGTGTTATGTGTTAAATCAAGATCAATAGATATTTGAACAGGAATCTGATCCTGCAGGATAGTCTTTTTGTGCTACAACCAGGGTTGTATTTAGGATGTATGACGCCCATGTGCAATCATTTATTGTTCCCACCCTGCTGCCCTTTTCAGCCAGCTTAACTTCACCATCTTTATTGCCAAATTATTTTGATGCCAGAATGCCATATAATCTAAAACCATAGATATATATCTATGAACAGATTGACATGTTTACAGTGCCTTTACAATTTTTTTTCTATGTGAGGAATTCAATTGTTTTTAGAAAAGTCACTGTTTGTGCCACTGGAGAATATATTTTGACGTGTTATGGTAGTGTTATTAAAATTGCTATGGAACAACAACTATTGCACATTTTACTTTAATATTGGCTGTGCATACTTATAAGTGGTGTACCTTCCTTTGTGATGCATTTTGGATATACTATATCAAGAATTTTGGGATCAGCTTCTGGGTAAGTGGAAAAAACTTGTTCATAATTTACTCACCCCTCAAACTAAGTCACTGTTTTCTCTACTAAAAACTAACTAACAGTATAATTGTTTGTTGTAGCAGTATGCTAACATTAATCCTTATCCATTTATGTTTAATTTTATGTATGATATGTGTATGTTGGACATCAGCTGCAGTTGTGTGGTTTGTTTTAAAGTGCTGCATTTGTTAAAAGTCAAAATCATATTTCCCCCCCCCCCCCCTTGGGCCTCTGGTGCAAAACCCCCTGGGACTAGTAGCCTTGGCTCCCAGGTTGACCCAGCCTTGAAATGGGTACCAGGTAAAGTCCTGGGAAGGATTAAAGGCGACCAGTGTGATGTTGACCATGCCTACTGGTCTGTAAAATATAGATCTAGCACTATATGTCTAAGACACCTGAAGTTGTGAAATAGGATCCTTTAGTTTTTTTTTTTTAATATTGTGCCACCCTGTGTAACTGCAGATGTAGCACAGTGCTTAAATGTGTGGCCCTAACAACAACTGTACAGATGATTTGAACAATGTACACTAAGTGTTAGTAAAAGAAGACTTGCAAAGTTCAACTTTTGAAATAGAATCATAACTGTCTTTGTGTGGACATGTTGGTACTGTATTTTAACTTCTTTTTTTTTTTTTTTATACTCCTTCATCTTATTTTTTCTTCTTCAATTTTTTTTCTTCTGTTTCTTCAGCATTCTTAGCCCTAAAGGTTCATTGAGGCAAATATCACCACCCCCTCCCCCCCTCCCCTCCATTTCTGTCTCTGTGGGTGGCCTATTTCAAATTGACTATTCCGGTGCTGTTCACCTTTCCAGGCCCAGGATTAGAGTAACTTCCCTTGCCATTCATGCCTTCTTAGGTCGCTAGACCTCTCCTATGTTGCGGGGAGTCATGTTTTCCATAGGAAACAGTGATTCTTTTAATATTCCTACACTCCTTGTAACTGCTGTCACTCGGGGGGAAGCCACCATCAAGGATTGTAGAAATACAAAAACATCCTAGTTTCGATAACCAAGAATCGTTGCCCCTGCGGCACTTCCCCCCAGCAGTACTTCTTACTTGTACACAGGTGCCTGTGGCACCTGAAATAGACTCACAACACAACCTCCCATGAACATTACATATGCTGAGTGAACACCAAACCAAGCCATATCATAGCACCACCGCAACATAGAAGAGGTCAGCGACCTAAAAAGGCATGAATGGCAAGGGAAGTTACTCTAATTCTGGGCCTGGAAAGGTGAACAGAACCATTATTCCAAGTGTTTGTAGGTTTGCTTGTATATTGTTTCTCCAGTCACCAAAATGGGTACCAGACCTTTTGAAGTAAAAGATGGTCAGCATGATGTTGACCACATCACCCTTTGAGTGCTAAAAGGTCCATAAAATTATAGGTCTAGCATTATATGCCTGATGCATGTTCAGCATGATAAAGGATCCTTTACTTTTTACTTGACATCTAACAAGGTACATGATGATTCTGACAAAATAACTATGTTCACCTGGTGTTATCGTATTTATGCTCTCTGGTTTTTGCTTTTATTTCATTAGGTTAGAAGAGCTGCTTGCTGTTGGTCTTCGAATTAAGTGGGGAATTACCAGTGATGTGAGTATTTATAAGTAATTCCATTAGAATTCTCTGAAGCAAATGGTCCTTCTCGAGATATCCTTAGAGTATGTGGATTGGCAAATTTTTTTTTTTTTTTAGTTGCGTATCCTTTACATGACGTTGCAGAACCAACCCTAACAGCCCCTGGCTGTTGTGTGGTTTCTCTTGGCAAATTTACGTCCAGTAGTTTGTCATTGTTTTCTGGACGGTCGGCTTTCTTGATACAACTGTTGAAACCAACACAAGGCACATTGCCCGCAACTGGGATCGAACCCGGCATTGCGAAGCGTTCGCATCGACTTAGCCACAGAGCCGACGGATTGGCTTTAGATGTGGGTAATCACTTCTCGAATGTTTTCATTACATTTCAGTCAGTGGCTGTCATTATGGTGAAGGTTAGTGCATCCCATCATGCTCTCTTACTCTGATATCATTTCTCCACTTGTATCGCTGTCTACTTTTTGCTAACTTGCTTTCAGATTGTCCCTCTCATATGGCTTTTATGCGGCATCCATGGCTTAGGTGTTGTGAGTCTAATTCGTAATTCCAATGTACCACAATCGAATCCCACTACTGGATGCAAAGATTTTTATCATGGTATTGGGTGTTGCAGGTCGACCCAGCCTAAAATGGGTACTAGGATGTATGTCCTGGGGAAGTAAATACTGCCGGCATAATGCTGACCACATTACCCACCTAGTGCCGATTGGTCTGTAAAAATTTGGGTGTTCCTCCCTAATGCCCGATGCGCCTAAAGGCGTGAAAAGGGATCTTTACTTCACTTATATGGCTTTTATTTACTTCACTAATATGGCTTTTATAAGCGTGTTATGTCTTTTATTGTGGCTGAAATGTGTCGCTTGTCCCTTTTTTTTTCTTTCAGCAACACTCTTTTTATTCCTAGTGACTGCAAACCCTATATAGCTATTATGAAATTGTAAAAAATGTGTGTCCATGTTGTAGTAAGATTGAAAGGTTTTTTTCTCTGTGTAAATCACGCTATAAGTGGTTTATGTACTTGCTTACCGCTCTAATATTTCTAAGATAAATCTTTCTCAAAGTGGGATTTTTTTGTAACCACATAAGAGACTACATAGCAGTTAGTATGTTCGCTGGCCAAGCTTTCTTGTTGAAGAGTCATGAGTATACCTATTACTGTTATTAAACTGCGGTGAAATATAGATATATATGTATGTGCGTGCATGTTTATTTTTTTTCTCCTCTTTTTTGTGCTTTTTAAGACAAGCTGTAAATATCTGTTCTCTTTCAGGTCAGGTCTAGGAAATACCCAGAAAGGAGTTTTGCAGAAATGCTTCTGCCATCATCACGTGTGGAAGATTTAGTTCATCAAGGGCTTCTCATATTTAATGATGATATTACAGGAAGGTATGGTTTGTTTACATTATGTATCACTGTACATGTAAGTGTTGATTTCAGCTAGGAAATGACATAACAGCATTTGGGACATTTTCTTGAGTGCTTCATCCTCATCTTCAGCAGCCAGCGAAGAGTTCCAATTCCACAGTTTGTTTATTTGATTATTTAAAGTAGTGACTTTTCACTAAGTTCAGCATCTTATTTTCTGATGGCCCTACATGTAGAGATACATAACCTAAAAAAGACAAGGATTTTCATTATTTAGCAAAAGAGTGAAAGCAGTGAATAAATAGCTTTACTTTGTAGAGCATTTAAAATATGTGCTCAAGCATAAGGTACTTCTATGGCAAATATCACTAAAGCAGTAAGTGGGTGACCTTCACGTATTGGGGTTACCATCTTCCTTCCCCACTGTCAATTTCCAAGACACATAACTGCTAGCCATTTTATTAGAGCCATCCTTGTTTTAAGAAAGAAAAAAAAAAAGAGAAAATCCAGCTACGTCAGAAGTGGAGATTAAACTCTTAGATGGCTCTGTTGATGAGTTAGTGCACTGCTAGTACTGTATCACATCTCTGGCATTGTATTTTAGTTTAACTGGCTTTTTGTTTTTTTATATGCTTACCTTTGCTGTATTTAGGCTTTTCTGTCACCATGGTCTACTGCATACACTTGTCTTATTTAAAGAAGAGCAGTTGCCAAAGGGATATGGAAACTGGTCTCGCATATCAGGGTTCCTGAGTTATAACTAATGGTAGACATAGAAATTTATATCTGTTGAATATGGAATTTGTAATCATATACCTGATTACTGCAGTCAAACTCTAAATGCTTTAAAAAACTTTTAGAAATCTTTTTCTTTCATATTTAATTTTAATTATACATATGTTTTATTTTTTTTAGCATCTGGCCATTTATATTCTTTCTCTTTTTAGTACAGGTACACATAATTATGTGTTTCTCTGATTAACATGGTTACATATTACATTTATTTTTAGGGAAAAAATAACAACAGCTCCTGTTATTTGTTGCCCTTTAGGATCTTTCATTTACATTCTATGTTCCTTTTTTTTATATTTGTTCATATTGTAATTATTTGTTCCTAACATTAGCATCAGTTCTTTATATTTATTTCTACCTGGTTTAGTATCTATTCCTATTATATTTATCTTTTCATATTTGCTCTTCAGTGAACTTAGAGCATCAGATGAAGGAATCAATGTGATTGATAGTATTCTCCCAGTACTGCTCAACAGTCTTGAAGAAAATTACAGAGCTCCCAGTGAGGAAGCAGTTACAAAAATGACAAAAGACTCATGACATTTCCTCCCAGGTGTAGAGTCTAAAAGCAATAATCAATGCATTGTTCCCTGTTGTAAATTTGAACAATGAAAACACAGTTTATAGCCTGGTATATTTTGCTGTATCTCATCAGATGCACAGTACAGTTACATTTGAATAAAATGAAGCAAATAAAAGAATTCCTTACAGCTGAGTAGCAGAAATACCACTCAAACGTAAGTGCCCAGTTTACCATAGCAAGCATTTGCATCGTTTTATTCAGTTGTTACTGTAGAAAGCACCTAAGGAGTTGCTGTGAATATGCCAACAATATAGTCTGCTTTTGTGTCTTCTTTGTTCACATATACAAGTAAATAGCCTAAAGCTTTGCTGGCAAAGCTAGCAGACATGTACACTTGGCAGATTGTCATCATTGTTGGAAAATATGTCCAGTTGATTAAAATTGAATGGTTTCTTTTATAAAATATATGAGATTTTAGTAGTGAGGTTATGTTGTATGCGATGCTGTAATTTTAACAAAATTAAAGTAATGCCATTTGCAAGCTATATCTTCTTCTTCTTAGTGTTCACAGGCTGTAAACTCTGGCAGAAAGTTCCAGTTGTCCATCCACTTCTGGACGTTGGCCTTGTTCCAGAACTTGTTTTCTGAGCACATCCATTTTTTTTACTGAGCTGGCTTATTTGTGTGTAGATTGTTGTTTCCTCGTCCCAGGCTGATGCTCTCCAAACTGAACAGAGATACCCCTGATTAAGTCTTTTCCTACATACATGTTACAAGGCTGTGATTCTGGTCCTTATTTCCCTCAAAATGGTACCCAAGAACCGACATGGCGCAAGCTATATGACAGTAGGATGGTACAGAGTCCATATGTTTATGGAACAACATACAAGGTTAAAATCGAGAGGATTGTCATCATTGCACTGGATTGTATCCCATATGGTTTTGTCTCTGCAGAACAGCTGATCACCTGCTAAGAGCATCACACAAATCATGAACACCATAGCACCATCACTGATTCCCAAGGGGAATTTTACTTGTGAATCGAACAGCACAGCCATGAAATGCACCCACAACTTTCAAAGCTTGAGTTGAACAACATGCAAATGGTAAAAAAAATATATATTGCACCATCTGTCTTTTACTTTATCAGTGATCTCTATTTCAGGTAAACTCACTTCCAACTTCACAGCAAGCAACCTCGTTGTTGCTCCCCTTCTGTGCTAGGGAAAGTCACAGAATGCCCATTGAAACAGACTGTAGTCAGGCAAAGCCAGTAGCATACACACACATTAAATGCATAAAGCAGTCATCAGAAGTGCTAACACAAACAGTCTGCTACTAGAACTGTAGTTTATTGTTGATGAAAGCAGCTTTTACACTTAATCAGTAGTTGCACGTGCAATTAATTGCCTAACGCACCACCACTTCTAGGGCAACAGGTCACTCACCATTTTTTTAATCTGCAGTTCACAACACAAACCATGTTCGACAATCAAAAAGCTTTCTAAAGTAAATCCACAGTTCACTAATACCCATTGTTTGAACCTAACTTCTTGAGTCATGCTTGTCAGACAAAATTCAACCTTGCTACCCTGGGGATTAAAACTAGGATCACTGTGTTGATAGGTACTGTGTTGTCCTGAAAGTTTTAAAGAGAAGTAAGAACAACATGTACAGATAAAAAGCATAATAAAGATTAAAAAAACAAAATTAAATGAAAAAAATTCAGGAAGACAACATTGATCATCCATATCAAAAGAAATCATTGCACATACTTTGAGCATATGTGAAGGACAAGTAAAATATGTCATGACAACCAGAAAGTTGTAAGGGAAGAAAGGCAGAACGAGACCAAGGGAGAAGTTGTATCTTGGCATTCTGGAAAAGAAAACCTCTGTAGAAGTTATAAACAGTTAAAGGCTTCGGACAGACATGGTTACCAACTCTACATAGCAAGGACTATAAAAGGAAATGCAGCTTTACCAAACTTTCAAAACAGGACACTGCACTGGTATTCTTTATCAGAGAACCATAACAGCTACTGACACAGACAGAAGTGAAACTAAAGTAACTATCTTGCAATACTGAAAAGTTAATTAATCCTTCGCCTGGTAAAAATCTGAAAAACTGATGTTTTTCAAAAGTTTTTATTTTTTTTTTTTCAAATATTATTTTATGAAATTCCAAACCTGAGAAACTAGTAGAAGAGAAGGAAAAGAGGCCAAAAAAAAATTGAGAGTCTTGGTCAGTTTTCATAAAATTCCATGGAGTTGAAACCTATGACTACCGAGCAGATATGCAGGCCTGCAAGCTATTGTGCACCAAGGCCTCCAGCTCACTGAATAGATGCTGGAATTTTCATATTCAGAGTCATCATTTTGCGCAAATATGATTTTGTTTTAAATATATAGTTTCACTAAATATAAATAGAGCCAAGAAATAACTGCTTTCCTTCCCTTTGACCAAAAAAACGGGGGTTTTTTAACACAGCAACAGGCCGCTGTGTTGCCATCATATTATGACCTCACAAAGACAATGACAAAAATCGAACAAAAACTTGTTCATCCTAAATAATATCACCAATTTCCTTTTGTGTAGTAAATATAATCCTACCTACCACGTCTAAAGATTATGCAATTGCTACAGGTACCAAATATGGTATTTAGGGTTCACTGGCCAATACCTAAAGAGTTAAGTCATCAAAAACCCATAAAAGTTGAAAAACCAACAGGGTTAAGACACCAAGGTGGGTTACTGAAAAATGACAGTAAGTAGCTGAAGTGAAAAGTTGGGAAACAAGTTATGAAAAATTTAATAAAACAAAGAAGAAATTCTTAATTTTTAAAAAAAGGAAAGACGATCAAACCCATACCTCCCTCACTTTACATATTTTCTATGTAACAATTGTGGAGGGAGAGCGCCCCTTTCCCCAGATAAAAATTAAACATGAGGGATTTCAGCCCCACCCCCCTAACCAAATTCTTCTCAACACTTAGGCAAATATTGGGTATTACACTTTTAAGTTATTTCAAGCATGCTATTATATTTATTTACCATGCATAACATTATCTCTATGCATGGTTACAAGGGGTCTCTTGGGCTTCTTACAAAATTATTGTTGGGGAAGGGTACTGAGGCCCCTTTTTCAGCAATCATTGGGGTGGGGCAGCAAGGTACACATTTTCCGCCACCACCACTTACAGTTGTATTGGCCCTAAACCTGCTTAGTTATTTCTAGCTGGGAAATTCCCTGATAACACATACTTTTTAATACGAAGCACTGCCTGACTATTATTTGTAGTTAGAGCAAACACGGACTTGTCAGTATAATTGAGCTGGTTTACCTGTATATTTTATTTGAAGTCAGGTGAAATCACCGCATTGATGTTTAAAACAGGCTGCATTTAACAAATAGCTAATTAATGGGGAAAGGGGGGGGGAGAGTGGTGGTGATTAGCGCCCTCCCTAAAAAAAAACATTTGCTAGGGGTGCGAAAAGGACCTGGGCTCACAGGCTGTGACGGAAAACAAAAATAGACCCACAGCTTCCCCCAAGAAGCATGTCGTAGGAGTCGACTAATTGAGGGCTTCCTTTGAAGTCGGAGTGCATCTGCTCGAGCGGCAAGAACAACCCACTGCACCCAAATAAGCTAGTAAAACGGATGTACACTCAAAACTCAGCCCCTGGCACAGACCCAAAGTCCGGA